CACCGCGGAGCATCCCAGCCGTGGAGCCGCACGGAGCGTCCCGACCCAGACACGGAGCTGCGCAGAGCATCCCAGCCATGGAGTCGCGTGGAGGATCCCGACTCATACACAGAGCCGTGCAGAGCGTCCCAACAGAGATGCGGAGCTGTGCGGAGCGTCCTGGCCGCGGAGCCACATGGAACATCCCCACCGCGGAGCCGTGTGGATCAACCCCGCCGTAGAGCCGCATGGAGCATCCCGACCCAGACATGGCGCCATGCGGAGCATCCCGGCTGTGGAGCCATGCGGCGCGTCCCGACCCAGACACGGAGCCGCACGGAGCATCCCAGTCATGGAGCCACATGGAACATCCCGGCTGGGGAGTTGCGTGGATCATCCCAGCTGGGGAGCTGTGTGGAGCATCCTGACCCGGCCACGGAACTGCACGGAGTATCCGAGCCTGGCCATGGAGCTGCACGGAGCATCCCAACCCAGGTGCAGAACTGTGCGGTGCATTCCAACCAGGCTGCGGAGCTGCATGGAGCATCCCGACCTGGCCATGGAGCCACGTGGAGCATCCTGGCCTGGCCACAAAGCTGTGCGGAGTATCCCAACCCAGCCATGGAGCCGCATGGCTCATCCCAATGGGAACAGCCTCTCGCCACTGCTGTGCAGCTGGAGGGGAAACAGTGCAAGGTGACAGGGAAAGGAGAGGGATTGGGATGCCACATGCTCTGGTGGCCCCGCGCTACGCTCCGGGAGCAGCACGGTCTGCAATGGGATGCACTGCATGATCCCGACGGCTACGTGGAAGGAAAAGCTGCTCCGTTAACGAAAGCTGCCCCAAAACTGCCGGAGCACCCAGGACACCCGAGCCCTGGGCCCTGCATGGGTCCCTGCGCGATGGGGAACCAGGGGCTGAGTCACCCCGCGCTGTTTATAGGCCGGGGATGGGGAAGTCGGAGCCGCTCCGCGGTGTCATATGAGTGGAAGGAAGCCCGGGAGGGAAGCGAGCGGCGCTGGGAGCCCAGGGCGCCCGCTGCCAACCCCGGCAGGACAGGCCCGGGGTGCCCGGGATGGTGGCTGCTCCGTCCTCCCACAACCCAGCGGCGGCCCCTGTCCCACGCGGCCTCGACGCCACCGCCCCAGCACCCGTGTCCCGAAGTGCCCGGGGTCTCAGCTCTCCCGGCTGCTCCGCCAGCCTCCCCGTGCTGCAGCATCCTGCATCCCGCAGCCGACGCATCCCGAACATCCCGCACCCCACGGCCTGAGTATCCTGAGCATCCTGCATCCCACGGCCTGAGCGTCCTGCATCCCAAGCACCCTGCATCCCGCACCCGAGCATTCTGCATCCCGAGCATCCTGCAGCCCACAGCCTAAGCATCCCGCATCCTGAGCATCCTGCATCCCAAGCATCCCATGGCCTGAGCATCCTGTATCCAGCAGCCCCCGCACCTGGCCCTGTGCC